GCACGAATGAGAGAAAATGAAAGTCAAATTATAAAATTGTTTTTCATCATGCTTTACGATTAAAAGTGTGTAAAATATGTTTGTTCGATTTTTTTTTTTTTTTTTACATTTTTGTCATTTTTTTGTTTATTACCTCTAACTAATTTTATTCGTATATAATCGCATGTTTATAGGCAAATTTTAACTATTTATGGATTTATTCTTATCACAATGCACCATGACTATAATGGTTATTATTTCCAATCAAGAAATACATATGAAATCAAAAGCAGGCGTCAAACAAAAAATTTATTAATTTTGTAGGAAGTATTATTATTTTAATAGCTCTAGTCTTTAATTGAGAAAATATAAAGTTTTTTTTTTTTTTTTTTTTTTTTTTTTTTTTATGATGATTTAACATCACGCTTTTTCTTCTTTTTTGGGGGGGTTCCTGGGGTCGTGGGGGGTTCTTGTTCGGTTTTTCTTTTTTTTGTTTTTCTAGGTCTTTTTCTTGGTTTAAACTTTTTAAAATTCGACGGTTTTTAAAATAAATTAATAAATTTTTTCGGTAAAAAATAAATATTTTAAACACTTTATTGTAAACTTACGTTGGACTCATTTGAGAAAAAATCTTCGATGCTTTGTCCGTTGAATAATACGATGTGTTGGCCTTTACACATATTGCTGCGTATCATGAAATAAGTTTTTAATGTCAGAAAGACGGATATGATTAATAAAGTAGTGCAATAAAAAATGTATGGCTTACCAATATTAAAAAAAAAAAAAAAAAAGTTTAAAAGTTGAGTTGTTTAAAGTTGTTTTGAGATGTAAAAGATTTTGTTTTTTGTTGTTTTTGAGTTTGAAGAAAAGACACGACGTTTACATATTTTTTATATATTTATATGACATAACTAAGTCCATGAAGTATATTCAATTCTCTGTCTTATGCTCAAGTCGTATGACATCACTACATGATCATGATATACAAAACGCGTATAGAGATGGGTGGTAAAAGAACAAATCCGGATGCAAATTATTTGATGCGCAATCGATCGACAGAATTTGTAATCCTATAGAATAAATTGGAACAAATTAGAACCTTTGTTAAGTCCGGAACGATCTTAACTAAAAAAATATTCACGTTGACATTTGCTTTATCTAGGCGACTCAATCATTGAGCGGGCGGACACCCGTGACACTTTTTCGTCGTACATACAGTAGTCCTACACTTCGTTCCGAAGTCCAACTTATTTAGCCATATATAGACATTTTCAGGGTAATTACTAAATTACATTAATTTTTTTATTAATTGTAATTGAGTATAATTTTTTCATTTAAATTAAATTTGCTACTTTAAAAATCAAATTAGAAATAAATTAATTCTAACATTGCCACTAGGGAAACGGGACCCGTTGTTAAGTCCGGAACTTTATCTAAACTTTTGTGCAATTGCAAGAGTCAATCAGCATTGACTCAATTATTGAGCGGGCGGACAACGGGACACCTCGTGTAACCTTATACCTGTACATATATAGTCCTTCACTTCGTTCCGGACTAATAAAAAAAGTCACTACCATGTGACATTTGGCCCGAATTATTTATTACATTAAATGTGACATTATGAAATTAAGTATGACTTTCCTGAAAGAAGAAAGGGTATTACAAATATTTTACGATGATCATGTGGTAGTTGTTAGTGATATTTTTTATGATGATGCTGGAGAAGATAACATTTAACTTAAGGATTTTTTGTGGAAATAACGTTCGTCATTCGATTGATCGTTTCTGCATTGTTATAAAATTGTAGAGATCCAATTTTCCTTTCCATGTAAAATCACTTTTTGTTTTTATTTATAAATTATATACGAAATAAACTCTGTTGCAAAGACAGCACAAGACAACAAAATATTAATAGAGACCTAATGAGAATAATCAATAGCAAACATCAGATTATCGGGAATTACTTGATATGATGTATTCAAAATATCCAAATCCAATAATTGATGTTGCAGAGAAGGAAAGTGTTAGTCTTAAGCCTTTTTTTTAAAAATTCTCCATTTCTCCGAGTTTAATCTCGAAAGATCGTTTGGTCCTGTTCATTACGAATCCAACAGTAATCAAAATTTCATAACTTTTCTGTCTTTTTTTTTTTTTCTAAATAATGAATGTCTTATTTGTAATGATAACATAAATTTCTTTATTTTATTTTATTTATAGAGTCCATATGCATTTGCTTATTTTAAGTATCGTCAATCTTATACTCAAGTCCTTAAAGGAGTTTTTTTTTTTTTATAAAAAATTTTGGCGGGAAATTTTCTTGTGATGAAATATTAATTTTTGATTGGTACAAAATTGATCGTCATAAAATTTTACCAAAATAGAAAAGTTAGTTTTTGAGTACTTAAAAATATTTTTTTTTAGACTTCTTTTATAAATTTATTTATATAAAAATTCTTGAATTAAATCAAAAATATCAAAAAATATCTATATTTTTTAGAATAATTATAGAATGAAAATAATAGTTTAAAGATTTGTAATAAAATGATTCAAATATATATAAATTTAGAAAATTTATTCAAATAAAAAAAGTTATAAAGGTTTAAATTTTTTCAAAAATTTGTAAAAAAAAAAAGAAAATTAAAAACATTAATCAAAAAATAAAATTATAAATATTAATCTACTGGATATCATATATTTATAAATCATTATCTAATAATATTTGTGATTATTATATCAATAATTTAAATGTTGAAATAAAAAAGAAAGTATAATGTTTATATATAATTATGCTTTTTATCACAAATGTTTTTCAAAACAAAATAATAACTGTAATTATTATTTATATAAAAATGTTGTCTTTAATGTAAAATCCTATATAAAAAAAGATTAAATAAAGATGATAATATTAATAATATAGTTTATTAGATAATGAAATATTAAATAATAAAAATAAAGAAGAAAAAGTAATAATAAAAAAAAGTATTTATAGACTTTAAAAATACTTTAAATTTGATAAATTATAAGTTATTAAATAAAATATATTTTAAAATATATATCTTAAGCCTTAAAATTTCAGATCTCATTTAACTTTTTTTAAAGCAGAGATCTTCATATCTTTTTTTATTTTTATTACCTTTTGATAAAACGTAAGTATATTATACTTATTATTTATGTATATATTTTTATATGTTTCATATATTTATAATTAAAATAAATAAAAAACTGATGATGGTGGTAAAGATTTACCACATACCATTATAGAAATATTGTTCATGTTCAGAGTGTTATATGTGATCACGTGGCGATGTCTAGCGCGTGACGTTTACATATTTATATGACATAGTGACACTAATTTGTTTATTAAACTTCGGACTTTCCGTTAATTCTAGTTCTAGTCTATAATAACATAACATTCTTCCTTTATGGTTTTACAATGATTTCTTCCTACACTAGAGTTTTCTACTGACAGTTCTCAAAATGGGTCTGTTCTACCAAAGACTCCAAGTTCCTTGGAGCAAGATGCACCTATACAACGATTTGTTACCAGTAAAATGATCTTAAAAAGATTTTAAGTCTTATGTTTGGTGAACAGGAAATAGGTCCATTTCACAAGGTATAATATATGCTTGGAGATTTTCTGCGTCCCGAGATTCTCTCTAAATTTAATTTCAAGTCATTTTCTGCTATCGTCGGATCAAATGGTTCGGGAAAATCAAATGTGATCGATGCGCTTTTATTTGTATTTGGTAATCGAGCAAATAAAATGAGGCAAGCCAAATTATCAGAACTTATTCATTCATCGCGAGGGTGTGAAAAATCTGGATGCTTGCAGAGTTGATGTATATTTTGAAGAAATTCTTGAATTGGTAAAGAAAAGTTTTAATTTCCAAAAAAAAAAAAAAAAAATTTCACTTAAAATAATAACGCATGATGTTTATTAATATTATAGCCTGGTTCGGATAATTATGAGGTTTTACCTCAAGCTCAATTGGTTATCTCGCATCAAGCATTTCGTAATAATGCAAGCAAGTATTTCATAAATGGGCGACAAAGCAATTACACTGAAGTTACAAGTCTTT